GCCAGAAAAAAAATTGTTAAGTTAAACGTATAATTAATTGCTGACAATTCGTTACGTTTAGATAAAATTAACTCGACGAATTGTTATGTCATGTATAAACATGTTGTAGCATCTGTTCCCTTCTCTGCTACCTGCTATAAATCTCGCGCTTGCTATAAATCTGAGCAAAATGAAATAGAAAAAAAGTCTTAAAGATAGCAGACTAAATAAAAGACTAAAATAAAAGAAAGCTAGCGTGTAATAATGACAGAGATTTGCGAGTAAGAAATTTTACACGTGGCACAATGATGTATTATAAATAACTTTAAAACGCGATATATAAAGGAAAAAATAATCGCCTGTAAACAAATAAACAGGGCCAAACATTCATTATTTTTTTATTAAACTTCAAAGATTTGTGAAAAAGAAATTCAGACGCGCGACTATATAACATAATTATATTTCATCCTGCGAATTCTTTGCAAATTCTTCGACATTGCTTAATTAATAAGAATGATTTGTAGAGAAGATACAGAGTAATTGTCTGCAATAATTTATCTTGGCAATCGGAATTTCTATTTTTCTCAAATCCAAAGAATTTGTTATAAATTTTAAACAATTTGCGCGTTTTTATTTATTAACGACGGTAGAAGAAGCATCGTAGCGGGAAAACATAGGATTTCATAATATGTATTTTTATGCAAATTCGACTCCTTCCGTTTCACTTCTTCAGTAAAAATTCCGCTATATAAAGCACAACGTAATTTCTAGGTAACATCACCTTATGCATTCTCATTTTTCCTCACAATACGCGTCCGCGCGACACGAAAAAGTACTTCGATACAAGAGACAGAGAGAAAGATTTGCAGATACAACTTATATATATATATATATATTAGAGATCCAAGAATAAATTAAGTTACTTTATATTATTTATATCATTATTTTTGGTACGTTCGCCATTGTGAAACTCAAACAAACGTGCGCTAAATTTGGGTATGTTTTTAAAGATTGGATCAGATTCAATCGAATCGAAAATATACTATTCTGCAAGATACGCTGTTTTTTAATTTGAGTAAATATATAATCGAGATAGATACAAATAATTTATTTTAAAATTAAATAACATTAGATCGTAATAACAATTTCACGTAGCATTATATATTTAAAAAATTCTCGGTTTTGAAATCTCGCTAGTTGTTCGTGCGAGAATGAATAGAGAGAGCGTTATTCGATATTCCTGGACCATAGTTCGCGCGGTTTCCGACAGCAAACGGCTGCTATCGTAATTTCAGTAATAGCCAATGAACCGAAAATTAGAACGATCTGCCGAGTATAGAAACGAGCGCGAATATTCATAACATTGACGATCGATTATCCGGAATAATCCACACGAAGTACATTTGCGAATAACACAAATTAGTCGGCGAGCAAATGCATCATGATCGGATCTAGAAATATATCGAGATGACGAATATCGACATGTGTATTTTTATGCAAAAGAAGATTATTTTTTTCCTTGTACAAATACATATTTTCTAGTACATATGCACTATTGGATATGTTACCAGCATGTTATTTTTCTGTACACAGATTGTGTTTGTATTACATTCTCGCGTATATATATTTATTTATTTTTGTAAATATAACGGAAATATATGAACGTACACGGACAAGCGTTAACAATCTATATATAAACAGTGATGCTTTTTAAACGTTACTTTATAATGAGTTTGCCAATTACAGTGAGTGTAACGATAGATCAAGCGATCCATCAATTTGTAAATTTCGTTCGGAGAGTTTTTACTTTGGGCATGACATTTAACGAGGCTATCTATTTTTTTTACGTGAATTGATAAAATATTTCAAGCGTAAAATATTCAAATTAAAGAAATATAAAGCAAAAGAAAACAATTTATTTTAATCGATATCAAAAGTTACGCAATAATATATTGACTGAAAAATAAAACAAAATTATATATATATATGGATTCAATACACGCATGGACACATCGGATTATGGACTGCCGCACTCTTTCAAATATCCCGGAGCGGTTGCAAATGGTTTCACAAGCAGCAAAAATGCGTTAGCGCATTACATTATATTACATAGTACTTGTACAAGAAAATAGTTACAGATCAAATAGATAAATTAGACAAGGACCGATAAACAATCGCTCTGATTGTAAATAGTGAATTGAATTTATAAACATTTTGAGCTGTATCTCAGTAATAATGGGTTTGCGGATATATGTTGATATGAACTTTTTTCATGTTTTGGTATGGAAAGATTGCCTTCGAAATTTGTCGCCTTATTTTAGTTACACCCTGTATATATATAATATTGTATTAAGCAAACCATTGGAAAATACTAATATAAATTTAATTTAAATTAGAAACATTAATCTATTTCCAAACTATTTAGATATATATATATCTGTTTAATTTTTAAAATAATAAATATGCGTTATTTACAAATAGATTAATTGAATTCTATATAAAATACTAAATAAATATAATATCATAAAAATAGATTTAAAAACTTGTTATTTAATTATACAATAAAACCTTACATTGAATTTCTTTCTGTTCGACTCGTAAAAGGATAAAAATTCTATGAATTTTGCTTCCTCATAGAGGAAGCTTTGTTTTTTTTTCTTTATTATAATACTTTTTTTTATAAATTTTGATTATTATTATTATTATTCGTATTAACATTATCATATATAGCGTGCATCGTATAAAGTCTTTGATCTTCAATTGACTGCGTAAAAAAAAAGCCGAAGAAAACATACATATAAAAGCTTTATCTCCAGGAAAGTAATTGAATTTCATGCGCAATTTAAGTATAATGTGGAAATAATATTATTTTCATCATAGAATTGCTAAAATAGAAATACGTCTTAAATAAATAACGAGAGAGAAATCTTTCTTATATTCGTGTGAACTGACCGGATAAACTTGCAATGCTGATAACAAATACATTTTAACAATGGATGTATGCGAAATATGTGTGTTAATAATGGATATATTTCGCAGATATCCATTGTGTTAAAGTGTTTTTCTTATAGCATTTCAAATTTATCCGTCGGTTCACGTAAACGCGGATATAAGAAAAATTTCTCTACCGTCATTTTTGCATTGCGCCCCTCGATCCGCGTGTCGACCTATCTCACTTCTCAAGACCATAATCTTGGCTAAAGAAGGAAACATGTATTATCATATGTGCAGATCTGTGAAAATAAGGTCTCGTCTTTCACAATGTAAAAAGCGGGACGTACAAAGAGCTCAAGGTGGCAACGTTTCCATTTTTATATTCTTTTGTTAGTCCCTTCTCTGCTCATCATTTCTTTATTTTCATGGAATGCATAAGACTTCTAGCAAAAGATAAATTCGTTGTCATTGATTTGTTGCTTGCGAGCGAAAAACATTTCTATCGCAATTCTTCCGTTGCTGCGTCGAGAGAAAGGAATGAAAAAAGAGAAACGAAGCTTCTAACAGGAGGAAGATGCGAAATTCTCAAGAAGGAGTCATTGTTCGATTTTCACCCTCTCGATATCCGCGCTGAGCCTTTGGCAAACATTTGCGTTGGCTATGTATAGAAATAAAAGTGAATTTCGTTGGTAAACATCCTCGGGCCACGTGTGTAAACGAGAAGCTAAAAAACGACGTTGTGTAAAATCGTAGGGACAGCAGGTTAATTTCTTATGCAGGCAACAACTGCGTGTTTGAAATTTTTCAACACAATTTTCAACACTCACTTACAAACAATGTTTCTCGCATTGTATTGTTGAGTTTACGTAACTGCATGAAAAAAAAACTTTAATGAAAAATGATATAGAAAAAAATCGCATTTTTTCCAATGTATCCTATTGGTATCACATCCTGTGTGATAATAAGTAAAACAATATATAAAAATGGGACATGCGATACGAGATGTGGAATATTTGACATACTATAAAATAAACATCCTAACATTGCAAGATATGTCAGTATGTATAAAAACTTATTTATTTAAGCATACTGTTATTTTAGTTTATAGTCAAAAACATTGTTTTGACATTGCTTTAAATAGTGCCGCAAATTTTAAATTATATTCTAAAATATAATGAGGGAGACTACATCCACTACTCACTATGATTTTAGAAATTATTACAACATAGCAAACATAATTTTTTTCCATCCATAAATTGGACCTGCAACTACATAGATCAATGACGGACAATGTAAGAACGAGCAATTCAACAGGTGTTTTCCTGCAAAATTGCGTGAAATTCAAGCGATAAAGAAAACGCAAACGAAAATGTAACGGGTTTGTTACAAAACATATTATGATAATTTCATTAATTTATGTTTCATTGTACATGCTGTATAATGATAACTAACAAAGTGAACGCATTGAACGATTGAACGCATTAAATAAATTTTAATTTTATATCAGGCATGTAATCGGTCAAATGTACGTCTGTCTGTAAAAGTTTCATATACATATATAAAACTATATATTATATATTTCATATATATATATATATAATCCATTAATTACACATAAATTATTTATGTGTAAATAGCGCACATTCAGTAAAAAAATAGGTTAAATATTAATATAACTGGACTAATAAACAAAATATTGAAATTATTTACATCACTTGTTTTTGCATGTACAAAATGTATTTGTATCGACTTTGGTATCCATTTCGTTCGTATTATATGGCTCATTTTATTGATTCAACCTTTACCTATTTGTGTCATACAAAACAAATTATTACCATAAACTAATTAATTACCAGTATATCCCATGCAATGATGAAAATATTGACAATCTGAACAAAATAACATCGTTATTGTATTAACGCGAATTTACCTGCGCGTTTATTAGCAGCAAACTTTCATCGACATAAAACACACTGATAGAGGCGTATCATTAAGCTAATTAATTGTTAATATCTCAAATATTATTTTTAAATAAATTATAAACAGAAACACCACCACTAATGGTATGTTATTATTGTATATTTCAGGTTCGATAAGCAACATAGACGGTGCAGAATATCACTGCAACAAAACTGCTATACGAAAGGTAATCAGTGGTGTCGTTGGTGCTGCGAGTTCAGTAACATCAATTCAGGTTGCCAATCTTCTACGATTGTTTAGGATTCCACAAGTAAGTACATATTTGAATTCAATTTTTCTAATACGAGAAATATCTTCATAACGACTTAATTACCGAGAATATTTTGCGAAAACTACTATTTCTCCCTTTTTCTCTCTCGCCCAAGAAAAAATTTTTACTGTAATATTTAGTGTTTGCCATATATACATTTTCGTCATCAAATAATGTAAAAAAAAAAAAGCAACACTTTCTTCATGTTTTTTCTTTTTCTTTTGTGTAAAGATTTGACTTTAAATACTTCATATGTCTCATAAATATATAGAAAAAAATTACAATATATGTATATATAGAGTTATGTAAAATAATCTATATTTATAAAATCTAAGGAAAAAATATACGAGAAAAATCTTGCTTTATAGAAAAATGATAAAATAGCATAACTATTCCAAAAGCGTGCATTAATATAAAATGTGATGAGTGGAAAATTCCATATATATTTTTCACACGTTTCAGTGCGCTACCACGAAAATTCAGAGCTAAGCAATACTCGTGCTTCTAGAGGTTACGAGGTAAAAATGTGTCAGGTGGCAGCAAACCGTGAAAACTTCATTCTTGACGCAAGAGTTTACGGAACCCCCGGTTTAAAATCTTCGTACCGTGAAATCACCTCATCCAACGCTACTTTCCTTATAAGCCATTCGAATCTCCTAGCCTGTTATAGCTCTCAGTCAGTGCTCTATTAGCTGAGGTTTAAGGGGTGCTATCGTAACGCTACTGTAATTATCCAACCGCGAAAGTGCCGTATTGCCTATTAAACTTTTACTAACTCTCTGTTATTCTATTTTGCCGACTATCGTCAACCAAAAATGAATCAAACTTGAATAATATCATGGTCCATACTTTCCTGCAAGATGCAAACTGAGAGCAAAATAAAATTTAACAATCACTTTCCAATATAACTAGAGTTAGAGAAACACAATAATTTTTCATCGCGATAATTCTATATAAATATATATTTTACATATGTTTAAACATATGTTAAAAAACATTACGCGACAATGATTTCAATTAGAAATTTGTGTGTTATTTATATCTCTTTATCATTACCTGTGCACAGATTTGTCTAATATTCATATGCGCATGTTCACTACAGAACAACTGGAAAACAAACTTCAACTTATACTAACTTAAACTGCTAATTATTGTATAAGATACTCGAATTGCAAGATTATATAGATAACTCTTTAATAATAGTTCATCTAGTGTTGCTTTACACTTTACTCAATAGTTCTTGATATGCAAGTTATAAGATTAATTTGCTTATACTATCCATATTGTGAAGATCTCATTTTACAACATCGAGTTTCTCGTCATAATAGATATACTACAGGTCAAACTTCGGTAATATGTGTATTTATATGCAAAGTTATGAAGATTGACTCAAGATAAGATCGAAATACAGCGATTTATATAGTATATATACGAGACGATAACGATCTTTAATTCTCGTCGAGTGAGATTGATACGTGATAAAAAAATTAATTACTTATACTTGTTAGAAAAAGATATATTTTATATTGTATATAAAATATATCTATTATATACATAAACATATAAAACACATTTTAAAAGTAAACATATAAAACACATTTTAAAAGTAAATATTTTAATAGTTAAAAATATACATCGTTAATATTTAACAGACGCAAAAGTCAAATTTAACTTTGAATACATCTCACGATATTACGGTCAAACATTTCATTAGTCAAATAGAGTTCTCATAATACTGAAACTTATGTTATTTAAATACAAAAAAAAATGTATAATTTGACAATTTCTTGTTAGAAATTTTTCATTTATCAATATTGTTACCAGATTAAAAAAACTTATATTCGCTATATTACAAGATAAGTTTCTTTCGTGGCACTTCTGCCTGTCCCGTCGCATCTGTTAAACTCAGTCTTATGAAACTTGTCGCGTCTATGTTGCGTTAAACTAAGAAACTGTTCGAGAATGTATGTGACGTGAACTGAGATCGCTTTTTACTCATCACGTAGTATTCCGAAAAAAAGTGGCAAACTTTTATGAATTTTCCGACCTAGTCAATTTCATACTTTTGCTTAAAGGCATAGAATCGATGTAGGAAGCACAAGCTTACAAAAAATTTAAGTTTTTAAACTCGTCATTACTTTGTTTAACGGAGCGAAATTTCTAAAGTTGTTTCAAATCAATTATTCGCGATTATACATATTATGGCAAGTAGAAGACAACATAAATTGTTAATTCATAGTATAGTTTGAATTAAATAGCGGATATTTAAAATATCAGATTTTTTGGCTTATAACTTATATTATTATATCGTATAATTTATTATAATTTGTTACAATTTTTTTCAAAAAAATATTATTAACCCATTTATAATATTTTAAATTCAAATGTTAAAAATAGTTGTTGTACAACGTAACGTTCTTTCGTGTCTGATAATAGCTTTATTCGACCGAAAAAAAAAAGATAAGTACCACTTATTCCATAAACTTAGCACATTTTTCTCTCATACAAGTTAGTAATTTACTTTATCCATATTTATAACGCTTCTGCAAGATCAAAAAGCGCTCGATCTTCGTCACTTTAGCAGCGATTCAAGCGTGGCAAGGTCTGATTAAAGTTGACCTCTTCTCCCAAATGACAGAGAACACGTTTCAATTATTAAGAACTTTATCTTCGGGAATGACATTTCATTATTTAAGGATAATCAATCTTACAACTCTATATGTCTTTACTAAACACGTTTCTACTAAATATAGTAAAGTTTACATCGTTTTTGGGCATCGCGACAATTATGGAATTTCTCTCGAAAATATTATATATTTATACGTCGATCCAAGATAAATTTTGTATCTGCAGTAACGCAACAAAAAGGTGAAAAAAAATTAATATGATGCGCTACTCGTGCGTCGCTCAAGGCACATTCTCGCGCGCGGCATAAAGGATGTATTTTCATAGCAGTATCTCGCAACGGAGAATGTATTATTCATCACGTTAAACGCAACTAACATCGACAGAATATCGTTGCCCGTCGCGTTTACGCGCGCTCTAAAGTGGTTGCAGACGACCGCTTAGCTAAACGATTTCTCCGCAACTTGTCAGCACGATGACGTACGATCGACATAGAAACATAGGTATAACACCCTGCTTAGGCGGAAAGTGCATACGCGTCAAAGAGAGCTTCGCTATGTCAATCAGTATCGCGTGCATACACATGTATACGTATCGCAGTTTGATCGACAAGCAAACACTAGTCGGCTCACAGGATTCAATAACATACGCGTACAAAGATTTATGCTGGCAATGCTGCGAGAGGTAATCTAAATTACATAATCGATTACCATACCTACATTATCGCGTATCAAATTTCTCGTCAATAGACATAGAAACAAGAGCTGAAAGTAGAAAAAGATGTGTTTGATTGAACGATTTGATCCATATACAATTTTAAAAATTATAATTATTTTGCAAGAATTATAAGATTATATTTTTCGATGTGTGTATTTTTAATTATTATTGAAGAAAAAACTCATATACGATAACAATAATCTACTCTAATCTTAAATTAAAATCCGTTACAATAGCCACTCCTCATCAATTATTACTGTTCAATTGAAGTAGAATAGGTTTAATCGCATCAAGTACACCGTCGTGATAAATTTTAGTCACGGTTTTCGCGAATCGAATTAGTTGAAAAGAAAACGCTCAGCAGCAATTTCTGTAAGTGGTTCTTCGTCGCTGCTAGGACTGTTGAAGCTCGTAGGATTACGATCGAGATTCAAGACGTAAGCCGCGCGATGCGACGCGAGCTCAAGTCACGTGAACTAAATAAATGAAATCGCATCTCGTCAAGGACCTACACATCGCCCATACAAAATTTCCCCCATTTGAAAATATGCTGTTGACGTCGCTGAAATTTGAATAATGATTGATAACCGCCACTTCTCGATTGCACACTTTTGGCAAGGGATAAGAAGAAGAATGTAAAACTTAAAGAATAAAAATTACTTCGCGTAGAAATATAAAAAAAAAGAATACTCATTTCTTGTGCCGTCGCATTATCTAGAGATAATCTTCGCAGAAAGTAATTGGATTCAATTTATAAAGACTTTGGAAGGATGCGATTTACATTATCCGATTAAAAGTACATTTATAATCGTTCGTAAAATTTTTTAATTAACCCGGACTTTATAACTTTGGCCGCTGTCATTAGCATTTTTATCGTTAATCAATTCATCGCTGAATATTTTATGCGATTTACAATAAATAATCACTTAAAAACGTTCGTCCTTTTTGTCGTTATCATGGATATATTAAGATACTTAAAATTTATCATATAATATATAATTTATTACGCAACGCAAAAATGCATATAATTAGTTTCAATATATGCGATAATATACTAGATTTTCAGATACGTTTAATTACGATGCGACTGATCAGAAAATGGGCAGAAATAAACAAGAAATATTATCTGTCGAGATAATTTAATACATATAAAATGTAATTACGACTAAAAGAAATGATCCTCGAGTTATTAATACTGATATATAAAGCATATTAAATCCTCTTTACGAGAACTGAGTATATTGTTATAAAGTATTGAATATATCGAATAATTCGAGAGAACGTGTCCTCTTATCCCATTTTATCGGCATAGTGAGTAGGGCTTGCAATTTCGCGCGGTTTGGGCGCAGCCGGTTCATTTCAATTAACGATAACATCGTTTTCTAGATTCTACAAAAGAACCGGCTGCAATGGTACGAGCCTCAGAAATGATCATGGTAAAAAATGCAAACATTCCGACAGAGTTCTGTGTTAGTATCACATAATCCTCAATTAACTCGCGAGTAACGGTAACAGTAAAACACAAATGACACGAGATGATACGTTATTTGACCCCTACCTTTTCAATTGAAATTGTGCGGAAAAATACAGCGTATATAATTAAGTTCTCTCTGTCGACGATAAAGTTTTGATCAAATATGACCTACTATTTTTCAAAATGCATACTATAATAATCAAATCATCTGTAAACAATGTAAACATAATTATTACATTTTCGTGTAAAACATCTCGGCAAAAAATAAATTGTTGCATATATGTACATTTATATATATATATATATATCGATGTATCACGATATATAATGTTAATTAAAATATTCATTTCTTTTCTATCTGTCGTGATGAGAAATTAAAGATTTTCATAGTTTCTCTCTAACATCTCTCAACATCAGTTAAATTTTTCCAGATTTTTATAACGCCGCTGATAGAAAAAGAAAAAAATAATTTTGAAGTTTTGAATCTTTTGGGTCATGCATAAATAGTTAGCGTCGAAACTTTTCTCTCTTTACTCACATAGATCTATTTTTCATCAATATTTTCATCTCAGCGTAGCAAGCGAAGAAATTTGCAAACTTGCTATATAATTAATCGATCAAGCCAAGCGAGCGGATCGAGTCGAAGCTTTAATATTCCAGGCAGCTTGATATTTATATGATTGGACAAGCGAGTTTTCATAGAGTTGATAGTAATCACTCTGAATCTGACAAATCGTGATAAATATATTCGCCATAGCATGCACCAACCGCGATATATGATAGGACGTGTATTGTTCCGAAGAAAAATAGCGTTGGTACCCTCGTGGCGCGAGATAACGCCGCCTCGTTTCTCACTACATAAACTCATCCGATGCGTACGCATCGACATCGCTAGCAGAGATCGAACATTTAAAAAAAAAATCTCGTTACTAGCTAAGACAAATCGAACGACGATCGAGGGCAAGCGAAACTGTCGATCCCACGAGAATTTGTGTTATAAAATATAAAAAAAAAATCTTACGATAAATATAAGTTACAATAAAAAATTGAATTATGCGAGTTCGAACCATTTGATATTCAGCGAGTTACGGTATGCGAAAAGCTCTTACTACAATTTTACTACAAAATAGCAATTTGATAATCGAAACGTCAATAGAAAGTTTGCCAGTTTGATAATCATAAAAGTGATAATAGTATATCTTCGTCAAACTTCTCTAACGCGATTGTATCACCAAGTTGATTTCGAAGAAGTCAATTTACGCCTACACGATGAAAAGATAATTAATCATCCACGTTGGCACATGCGGCTAACCCAAAATCGCCTTTTCTTCGATAAGCGTCACCACAGAATAGCAAATGTAGAATATTGTATGGAAACACAGAGGGGAGAATTTGGTCCATAGATAAACGACAGACTGATGGTAAAACTTATTATGGAATGTTACGGTGAAATACATGATTTAGACAAATGATGTCTTTCACGTACAACCGTCATCGTTTCCTGAATGCTTTGTCCTTCGAGAGATTAAATTTATACTCTTGTTACTCCATGAATCTTCAAACCCATGAGTAAGTCGTTTTGAATGATCTCCAAATATTAGACTGTCAAACAGCTGGATATATTTGATTTTACTCTGTTCCTCTGTTCCTTAAATATTCTATGTTATCAGATCTTCTAAACTTTGTTCTTTAAGAATTCACGATTTCATGGAACTTTGATTTCCGAATCTTTCGATGTAGCTATTTAACCCTTTTGATTATCTGATCTCTCTTTTAGTCTTTGAACTCTTATAATCTTGAATTCTTGAATCCTTGAAGCTTCGTAACAGTGGCTTTTTCATTACTTATATCTCTCTCGAGCTTTGACGCTATATCTTCTTGTGCGCTTGAATATTAAGGTTCTTGTATATTGCATCTTTGAGATGCTTTAAAAGTAGTGAAATTTTATGTCGCTTTTAGCGTCCAGCTTTCCGACAATAGTGGTATAAATCGCTTTTTAAAGAGTGGCGAATGATATAAATTAACTGATTATCTTCACATCACTGATCGTTCCTAAGATACACTCTTCTCTTTCGAGAAAAACACACAAGTTAAAGTGTAATTCTCTGACAGTCATTAAATTACACGCTTTCACTCTCTCGGTCCATTTCAGAACCATCAGAAACGTCGACCACTTCCAAGAGAATTCAAGTTTACTTCGCTTTTAGCCAGATGCAGTCACTCACTCGCAATTAGAAATGGATTTATCCGATACCAACGCGACATTCGTGTTCTATAATGCCGTACGCGACGCAATAAAACACCTAGTACCCAGTTATTTTTCAAGCTTGAAATTCAAATATCAATCTTTAAAAAAAAAAAAGAAGATATTTTTCGATGTTTCCATATTTCGGATAAGATTTAGAAATTAAAGATGAAGATGACGGAAGCTTCCCAAAAGTTTTATATTCCTAAACACTTTGAACTGTTGACATAGCAATTTAGAATGTGTCGTAAAAGAAAATGTTATTTATCAAGTTATTTACCCCTTGTATGTATACACAAATCTTATAAAACATTTTTGCTTCTTATGTTTTTAAGGTTTTGTTGTAATTCCCATATTTATTACAACAATACTCTTAATTAATAATAATGTACTTTTCTGTATTTTTGGTCTTTCTATTACTGCACTATATAAGAAATAATGCAAAAATTCTTCTACATGCAAATAACATAAGCATAAATCTATAAAACAGATTTAGAGACAGTTATCTTTTATTATAATGATTGATGATACAATTAAGTGTATAGATCTAACATTATAAAATTTGTGTAATAATTTCCTTATATGTAAATAATTTAAAATAGAAATTTGTCTATTATTGTAGGTCTCCTTTTTCTCAACAAGTCCAGAGCTTTCCAACAAGCAACGCTTCGAATATTTTAGCCGTACCATACCTAGCGATCACTATCAAGTCAAGGCGATGGTCGATATTGTATTAACGATGGGCTGGAGCTATGTCTCCATCATTTATGAGGAGAGTAACTACGGCATAAAGGTTTGTACCCGATCGTAATTTTTTGTTTTAAATTCATGGACAGTATTTGATCATAAAATTTGCGCGAAACATATATTATATACTTCCATTATTATTACGTTATGTATTTATGTATTTATTATATTTCTTATATTATGTGTACTATATATGAAAGAAAGATATATTTTTGTAAGGATTCTTTTTTTATTATCTTTCCATTTAATTGATATTAAAAGCTCGGTAATATTTTTCTTACAAATGTGATATAAAGATTGTGAAAAATTAGCTTTGAAAATTGTGTCCACTCAAATGTGCAAATAATTTTTATACTAAAAATTATATTTTACTTACATATAATATGAAGTAATTTCAGTTCAATATTATTATTACAGCACCATTTTCGCAAAGCTTTTAAGTTAGATTAAATATTCATACATAAAATATAATAGTGTGTGAATGTTAAATAAATTAATGTAAAATCGTAATAAAATTCCCTGATGGCTTTGTATAGGCATTATATATAAATAATAGAATTCAAAAATAACAATATTGTTTCATCACAATATAACATTTTTTTAATTAATTGCATATAGCAATATTTAAGAAAGTATTTTATTACAAAGCTAGATAATCTTTAATATAATTTTGATACGAATGTTTCAAGAGACCATATTCTTTTTAAAAATAGATCTTATAAATATAAATAATGCTCACATAACACAATATACATAACATTAGACCTGTAAACTAATAGTGTGGAAGTAAGTGCTTTTAACTATAATTAGATATCCTATAATTCAAGTAATTATAAACATACAATTAGAATATATATAT